GCTTTAAAATGATGTATCACATGCCATTGAAACCTATATTGTTTTTGCTCGAGACGTTAAAAAAAAAATTCCTTTTTTATTAGGCCCGAGCCCCGAACGGGGTAAGGGCCTATTGCTTTCACAATGGTGAAAACAAATGGTGGCGGTGCGTGACGGACGCGTCAGCGCCCGTCACTCACCAAAACGTGACAGTTGCGTGCGTAAACTCAAAAGCTTTAAAATGATGAATCACATGCCATTGAAACCTATATTGTTTTTGCTCGAGACAAGTCACAAAAAATTCCTTTTTTATTTATTAGGCCCGAGCCCCGAACGGGGTAAGGGCCTATTGCTTTCACAATGGTGAAAACAAATGGTGGCGGTGCGTGACGGACGCGTCAGCGCCCGTCACTCACCAAAATGTGACAGTTGCGTGCGTAAACTCAAAAGCTTTAAAATGATGTATCACATGCCATTGAAACCTATATTGTTTTTGCTCGAGACGTTAAAAAAAAAATTCCTTTTTTATTAGGCCCGAGCCCCGAACGGGGTAAGGGCCTATTGCTTTCACAATGGTGAAAACAAATGGTGGCGGTGCGTGACGGACGCGTCAGCGCCCGTCACTCACCAAAACGTGACGGTTGCGTGCGTAAACTCAAAAGCTTTAAAATGATGTATCACATGCCATTGAAACCTATATTGTTTTTGCTCGAGACGTTAACAAAAAAATTCCTTTTTTATTTATTTATTTATTTCTTTCTTTCTTTCTTTTTTCTTCTGCACTTTGAGCCTTAATTTGACCCCCTGAACATGCATGAAAAGTTGTTAATTTTGGCCCAAAAATCAGACCTGGTGAAAAATTTGATATTTTGGTGTTTATTTTTATGGGACTCAAAAAATGACAGAACAGCGCCACCTACAACAGCCAAAATAATACCCCTATGGGACTTTTCGGAGGTCAAGTTTGTCGTAGAAACATGAAATTTGGTACACATGTTCCTCAAGTCAAGACAAAAAAAATATTATTATGGCCCCGCCCTCTGACAAACAGGGAGCCCATAAATCTCACTGCAAAATGGAAAAATGAACAGCAAAAGTTTTCATACATGTCGGTTGGAAAGCGACTCCTCCTCGGCCGTTTCACCGATTCGCCTCAAAATCGCTCCACATCATCTCAACACATGTACCTTCAAAATGACCTCAGGGATTTTTGATCAGTGAAACATTGTTTGAGCAGCGGAGCGGCAAAATGTGACCTTTTTTTGGCCGTTTATGACAACATTAAATTTGCTCCTGTTTGCACAAACAAAGTCTGATTTGCACAAAACTTTAATACATTGTTAAGCTCTAGGGTCTAGGTCATTTGAAAGTTAAATATTCCAATTGACTCATTAGCGCCCCCTACAGACTATTTCAAAGTTTTAGATGGGCATTTTCAAATTTAGTTTTTTCAAAATGTTTGAAATTTTGCACAAAAATCTGTTTTGCCCTCTTGATTCAAAAAGTCAATTGGGTCCAAGGCTTATTTTTTACTCTGTTGCCGTGGCGACAAGAAACGCTCCCCATTCATTGCAAATGTACACCTCACACAAACATCAAACCAGCCTCGGCCGTTTCACCGATTCGCCTCAAAATCGCTCCACATTATCTCAACACATGTACCATCAAAATGACTTCAGGGAATTGTGATCAGTGAAACGTTGTTTGAGCAGCGGAGCGGCAAAATGGAAAGTTTTTTTCTGCCGTTTTTGACAACATTAATTTTTTTCCCGTTTGCACATACAAAGTCTGATTTGCATCAAACTTGAACCCATTGTTCAACTCCAGGGTTTAGGTCAGGTGAAAGTGAAATATTTTAAATTGGCCCATTAGCGCCCCCTACAGACTGAGTCAAAGTTGACATGGGGAGCCAAACCAGCTCTACTTATCATATTCATTACAATTTGACTAACAATCAAACAAATCAACAAATCATCACACGGCGGCGCCACCTCCTTTGAGCGGTGCTGCGTGGTACGGTGTGGTGCGGCGTAGTGCGGGGCAGTGTGCGGGGCGTTGTGGAGCGGCGCGTTGCGGCTTGGTGCGGGGCGGCGTGATGCGGGACGGCGTGGTGCAGGGCGGCGTGGTGCGGGGTGGCTTGGTGCGGGGGGTGTGCGCGGTGTGGGGAGTCGCGCGGTGCGGCGAGGGCCGTTCGACGCCGCTTGCGGCTTTAATTTATTTCTTTCTTTCTTTTTTCTTCTGCACTTTGAGCCTTAATTTGACCCCCTGAACATGCATGAAAAGTTGTTAATTTTGGCCCAAAAATCAGACCTGGCGAAAAATTTGATATTTTGGTGTTTATTTTTATGGGACTCAAAAAATGCCAGAACAGCGCCACCTACAACAGCCAAAATAATACCCCTATGGGACTTTTTGGAGGTCAAGTTTGTCGTAGAAACATGAGATTTGGTACACATGTTCCTTGAGTCAAGACATGAAAAAAATATTATTATGGCTCCGCCCTCTGACAAACAGGAAGCCCATAAATTTCACTGCAAAATGGAAAAATGAACAGCAAAAGTTTTCATACATGTCGGTTGGAAAGCGACTCCTCCTCGGCCGTTTCACCGATTCGCCTCAAAATCGCTCCACATCATCTCAACACATGTACCTTCAAAATGACCTCAGGGATTTTTGATCAGTGAAACATTGTTTGAGCAGCGGAGCGGCAAAATGTGACCTTTTTTTGGCCGTTTTTGACAACATTAAATTTGCTCCCGTTTGCACAAACAAAGTCTGATTTGCACAAAACTTTAATACATTGTTCAACTTTAGGGTCTAGGTCATTTGAAAGTTAAATGATTCACATTGACACATTAGCGCCCCCTACAGACTATTTCAAAGTTTTAGATGGGCATTTTCAAATTTAGTTTTTTCAAAATGTTTGAAATTTTGCACATAAATCTGTTTTGCACTCTTGATTCAAAAAGTCAATAGGGTCCAAGGCTTATTTTTTACCCTGTTGCCGTGGCGACGACAAACGCTCCAGATTCATTGCAAATGTACACCTCACACAAACATCAAACTAGCCTCGGCCGTTTCACCTATTCGCCTCAAAATCGCTCCACATCATCTCAACACATGTACCGTCAAAATGACCTCAGGGATTTATGATCAGTGAAACGTTGTTTGAGCAGCGGAGCGGCAAATAGTGGCGTATTTTTTTTCAGTTTTTGACAATAGAAAAATGGCTTCCGTTTGGACAAACAAAGTCTGATTTGCACAAAACTTAAATCCATGGTTCAACTCTTGGGTCTAGGTCATTTGAAAGTTAAAATTTTGAAATTGGCTCTATAGCGCCACCTACAACAGCCGATTTAAAAATGCCTATGGGAGGGGTTCGAGGTCAAAATTGTCATAGAACCATGTAATTTGGAACACATGTTCCTCAAGTCAAGACATTGAACTTGTTTTATTATGGCTAAGCCCTCTGACAAACAGAAAGCCCATAAATTTCACTGCAAAATGGAAAAATGAAAAATAATCATTTTCATACATGTCGGTTGGAAAGCGACTCCTCCTCGGCCGTTTCACCGATTGGCCTCAAAATTGTTCCAAATCATCTCAACACATTTACCTTCAAAATGACTTCAGGGAATTTTGATCAGTGAAACGTTGTTTGAGCAGCGAAGCGGCAAAATGTGAGGGTTTTTTTGGCCGTTTTTGACAACATTAATTTTTTCCCGTTTGCACAAACAAAGTCTGATTTGCATTAAACTTGAATCCATTGTTCAACTCCAGGGTTTAGGTCAGGTGAAAGTGAAATATTTGAAATTGGCCCATTAGCGCCCCCTAAAGACTGAGCCAAAGTTTACATCGGGAGCCAAACCAGCTCTACTTATCATATTCATTCAAATTTGACTAACAATCTTCTATGACTACGGGAACAAATCATCACACGGCGGCGCCACCTCCTTTGAGCGGTGCTGCGTGGTACGGTGTGGTGCGGCGTAGTGCGGGGCGTTGTGGAGCGGCGCGTTGCGGCTTGGTACGGGACGGCGTGGTGCGGGACGGCGTGGTGCGGGACGGCGTGGTGCGGGACGGCGTGGTGCGGGACGGCGTGGTGCAGGGCGGCGTGGTGCGGGGAGTGCGCGCGGTGCAGGGAGTCGCGCGGTGCGGCGAGGGCCGTTCGACGCCGCTTGCGGCTTTAATTAGGCCCGAGCCCCGAACGGGGAAAGGGCCTATTGTTTTTGCTCGAGAGATGTCAAATTCTGCACTTTGAGCCTTAATTTCACCCCCTGAACATGCATGAAAAGTTGTAAAATTTTGACCAAACATCAGACCTGGTGAAAAATTTGATATTTTGGTGTTTATTTTTATGGGACTCAAAAAATGCCAGAACAGCGCCACCTACAACAGCCAATGGGAGTTTCAGAGGTCAAGTTTGTCGTAGAGCCATGAAATTCGGTACACATGTTCCTCAAGTCAAGATACGACCGAAATGTTATCATGGCTCCGCCCTCTGACAAACAGGAGGCCCATAAATTTCACTGCAAAATGGAAAAATGAACAGCAAAAGTTTTCATACATGTCGGTTGGAAAGCGACTCCTCCTCGGCCGTTTCACCGATTGGCCTCCATATCACTCCACATTGTCTAAACACATGTACCATCAAAATGACCTCAGGGATTTTTGATCAGTGAAACGTTGTTTGAGCAGCGGAGCGGCAAAATGTGAGTGTTTATTGGCCGTTTTTCACAACCTTCTATTTGCTCCCGTTTACACATACAAATTCCGATTTGCACAAAACTTGAATCCATGGTTCAACTCTAGGGTCTAGGTCATTTGAAAGTGAAATAATTGAACTTGGCTCATTAACGCCCCCTACAGACTATTTCAGAGTTTTTAGTATGAAAAACTCTGAAAACTTTGACTCCATCTGTAGGGGCACTAATGAGCCAAGTTCTTTTATTTCACTTTTAATTGACCTAGACCCTAGAGTTAAACAATGTATTAAAGTTTTGTGCAAATCAGACTTTGTATGTGCAAACGGGAGCAAATTTAATATTGTCCAAAACGGCCAAAAAAAGGTCACAATTTGCAGCTCCCCTGTTCGAACAACGTTTCACTGATGAAAAATCGCCGAAGTCATTTTCAAGGTACATGTGTTGAGATGATGTGGAGCGATTTTGAGGCGAATCGGTGAAACGGCCGAGGAGGAGTCGCTTTCCAACCGACATGTATGAAAATGATTGCTGTTCATTTTTCCATTTTGCAGTGAAATTTATGGGCTTCCTGTATGTCAGAGGGCGGGGCCATAATAACATTTTTTTCATGTCTTGACTTGAGGAACATGTGTACCGAATTTCATGGCTCTACGACAAACTTGACCTCCGAAAAATCCCATGGGGGTTATTATTAGGCCCGAGCCCCGAACGGGGAAAGGGCCTATTGTTTTTGCTCGAGAGATGTCAAATTCTGCACTTTGAGCCTTAATTTCACCCCCTGAACATGCATGAAAAGTTGTAAAATTTTGACCAAACATCAGACCTGGTGAAAAATTTGATATTTTGGTGTTTATTTTTATGGGACTCCAAAAAATGCCAGAACAGCGCCACCTACAACAGCCAATGGGAGTTTCAGAGGTCAAGTTTGTCGTAGAGCCATGAAATTCGGTACACATGTTCCTCAAGTCAAGATACGACCGAAATGTTATCATGGCTCCGCCCTCTGACAAACAGGAGGCCCATAAATTTCACTGCAAAATGGAAAAATGAACAGCAAAAGTTTTCATACATGTCGGTTGGAAAGCGACTCCTCCTCGGCCGTTTCACCGATTGGCCTCCATATCACTCCACATTGTCTAAACACATGTACCATCAAAATGACCTCAGGGATTTTTGATCAGTGAAACGTTGTTTGAGCAGCGGAGCGGCAAAATGTGAGTGTTTATTGGCCGTTTTTCACAACCTTCTATTTGCTCCCGTTTACACATACAAATTCCGATTTGCACAAAACTTGAATCCATGGTTCAACTCTAGGGTCTAGGTCATTTGAAAGTGAAATAATTGAACTTGGCTCATTAACGCCCCCTACAGACTATTTCAGAGTTTTTAGTATGAAAAACTCTGAAAACTTTGACTCCATCTGTAGGGGCACTAATGAGCCAAGTTCTTTTATTTCACTTTTAATTGACCTAGACCCTAGAGTTAAACAATGTATTAAAGTTTTGTGCAAATCAGACTTTGTATGTGCAAACGGGAGCAAATTTAATATTGTCCAAAACGGCCAAAAAAAGGTCACAATTTGCAGCTCCCCTGTTCGAACAACGTTTCACTGATGAAAAATCGCCGAAGTCATTTTCAAGGTACATGTGTTGAGATGATGTGGAGCGATTTTGAGGCGAATCGGTGAAACGGCCGAGGAGGAGTCGCTTTCCAACCGACATGTATGAAAATGATTGCTGTTCATTTTTCCATTTTGCAGTGAAATTTATGGGCTTCCTGTATATGTTCAGAGGGCGGGGCCATAATAACATTTTTTTCATGTCTTGACTTGAGGAACATGTGTACCGAATTTCATGGCTCTACGACAAACTTGACCTCCGAAAAATCCCATGGGGGTTATTATTAGGCCCGAGCCCCGAACGGGGAAAAAAGACCAATGCTAGCTGCTGCAGGTGGTGTGTTGCTATGGTAACACTTCCTCTTCTCTGGTGGGAATTCGAGCTGAATGTTTTCTGTGACTTGATTTAGGTCTATACAAGAATAAACTGTACTGTAATAACCCCAAGTAACAGAACGTTTTAGGTTGATATAATATAATTTAATAATGGTTAAGAAACAAACGAGAATTTAATGAAATAAACAACATGAATGTTGTTTAAAACGTTTTTATGTCAATTTGAGAACATTCTGAACAAGATTTGATAAAGTGGGATGAAGACATTTAGTTTTATTGTTGTTACTGTTGCTGTAATTTCTCCTTTAAAGGGAGATATCTATTTTTTTAAAACAAGATCATTTTCTCGTCTTGATGGAAAATGTGGTTTTAAGGTTCAGTCACAATGAGCTCAAATTAACAATAAATAAGTAAGATAATTAAGATTCAGATTAAGACGTGCAGGAAACCAAAGAATGTACATAAAATGAGTAAATGTGCTTCCAAAAAGAAAAGCCGTCAAAATGACTGCTCTGGGAGTACCTCCATGTCTAAGGTGAAGTCCATGTGGGACAGGACCAGCAGCAGCGACATGAACGGCTCTGAAACACACACAGGAGTTAGAGACTGAAGCAGAGACTGAAGCAGAGACTGAAGCAGAGACTGAGGCAGAGACTGAAGCAGAGACTGAGGCAGAGACTGAAGCAGAGACTGAAGCAGAGACTGAAGCAGACTGAAGCAGAGACTGAAGCAGAGACTGAAGCAGAGACTGAAGCAGAGACTGAGGCAGAGACTGAAGCAGAGACTGAAGCAGAGACTGAAGCAGAGACTGAAGCAGAGACTGAAGCAGAGACTGAGGCAGAGACTGAGGCAGAGACTGAGGCAGAGACTGAAGTAGAGACTGAGGCAGAGACTGAAGTAGAGACTGAAGCAGAGACTGAGGCAGAGACTGAAGCAGAGACTGAAGCAGAGAATGAAGCAGACTGAAGCAGAGACTGAAGCAGAGACTGAAGCAGAGACTGAAGCAGAGACTGAGGCAGAGACTGAGGCAGAGACTGAAGTAGAGACTGAGGCAGAGACTGAGGCAGAGACTGAAGCAGAGACTGAAGCAGAGACTGAAGCAGAGACTGAAGCAGAGACTGAAGCAGAGACTGAGGCAGAGACTGAAGCAGAGACTGAAGCAGAGACTGAAGCAGAGACTGAAGCAGAGACTGAAGCAGACTGAAGCAGAGACTGAAGCAGAGACTGAAGCAGAGACTGAAGCAGAGACTGAGGCAGAGACTGAAGCAGCAGAGACTGAAGCAGAGACTGAAGCAGATACTGAAGCAGAGACTGAAGCAGAGACTGAAGCAGAGACTGAGAGCAGAGACTGAAGCAGAGACTGAAGCAGAGACTGAAGCAGAGACTGAAGCAGAGACTGAAGCAGAGACTGAGCAGAGACTGAAGCAGAGACTGAAGCAGAGACTGAAGCAGAGACTGAAGCAGAGACTGAGCAGAGACTGAAGCAGAGACTGAAGCAGAGACTGAAGCAGAGACTGAAGCAGACTGAAGCAGACTGAAGCAGAGACTGAAGCAGAGACTGAAGCAGAGACTGAAGCAGAGACTGAGCAGAGACTGAAGCAGCAGAGACTGAAGCAGAGACTGAAGCAGAGACTGAAGCAGAGACTGAAGCAGAGACTGAGGCAGAGACTGACAGCAGAGACTGAAGCAGAGACTGAAGCAGAGACTGAAGCAGAGACTGAAGCAGAGACTGAAGCAGAGACTGAGCAGAGACTGAGCAGAGACTGAAGCAGAGACTGAAGCAGAGACTGAAGCAGAGACTGAAGCAGAGACTGAAGCAGAGACTGAAGCAGAGACTGAAGCAGAGACTGAAGCAGAGACTGAAGCAGAGACTGAGCAGAGACTGAGCAGAGACTGAAGCAGAGACTGAGACTGAAGCAGAGACTGAAGCAGAGACTGAAGCAGAGACTGAAGCAGAGACTGAGCAGAGACTGAAGCAGAGACTGAAGCAGAGACTGAAGCAGAGACTGAAGCAGAGACTGAGGCAGAGACTGAAGCAGAGACTGAGCAGAGACTGAGCAGAGACTGAAGCAGAGACTGAAGCAGAGACTGAAGCAGAGACTGAAGCAGAGACTGAAGCAGAGACTGAAGCAGAGACTGAAGCAGAGACTGAGGCAGAGACTGAAGCAGAGACTGAAGCAGAGACTGAGCAGAGACTGAGCAGAGACTGAGGCAGAGACTGAAGCAGAGACTGAAGCAGAGACTGAGCAGCAGAGACTGAAGCAGAGACTGAAGCAGAGACTGAAGCAGAGACTGAAGCAGAGACTGAAGCAGAGACTGAGCAGAGACTGAAGCAGAGACTGAGCAGAGACTGAGCAGAGACTGAAGCAGAGACTGAGCAGAGACTGAAGCAGAGACTGAAGCAGAGACTGAAGCAGAGACTGAGCAGAGAGAGACTGAAGCAGAGACTGAAGCAGAGACTGAAGCAGAGACTGAAGCAGAGACTGAAGCAGAGACTGAAGCAGAGACTGAGCAGAGACTGAAGCAGAGACTGAAGCAGAGACTGAAGCAGAGACTGAAGCAGAGACTGAGCAGAGACTGAAGCAGAGACTGAAGCAGAGACTGAAGCAGAGACTGAGCAGAGACTGAAGCAGAGACTGAAGCAGAGACTGAAGCAGAGACTGAGGCAGAGACTGAGGCAGAGACTGAGGCAGAGACTGAGCAGCAGAGACTGAAGCAGAGACTGAAGAGAGACTGAGGCAGAGACTGAAGCAGAGACTGAGGCAGAGACCAAGGCAGAGACTGAGGCAGAGACTGAAGTAGAGACTGAAGCAGAGACTGAAGCAGAGACTGAAGCAGAGACTGAAGCAGAGACTGAAGCAGAGACTGAAGCAGAGACTGAAGCAGAGACTGAGACTGAGGCAGAGACTGAAGCAGAGACTGAGGCAGAGACAGACAATGGAGGAAGATCTCACCCAGGTATTCCTCGTTTCTGATGATGGAGAGAGTCGGACAGAACCACTGCAAAGAAAAACGACTTTGAAATCAGGACCCGGTGAATGCGGCTCATGCTAACTCTAGTTCAAGTATAACATCTCTAGCTTTAGCATAACAAAGAAGCTAGCATAAATATCTAGCTTTAGCATAACAAAGAAGCTAGTATTATGATGTCTCAAAGATTACAGCCAAAAAGAAGTGCTCCAGTATATTTGTATTGGGTTTAAACATTAGTGATGTTAATGAAATAAATGAATAAAAACATTGAGAGCGTGAAAGAGTGAGAGAACGTGAGGGAGTGAGAGAGAGAGTGAGGGAGTGAGAGAGTGAGGGAGTGAGAGAGAGAGTGAGGGAGAGAGAGAGAGAGAGTGAGGGAGTGAGAGAGTGAGGGAGAGAGAGTGAGGGAGTGAGAGAGAGTGAGGGAGTGAGAGAGAGAGAGTGAGAGAGTGAGGGAGTGAGAGAGTGAGGGAGTGAGAGAGAGAGTGAGAGAGTGAGGGAGTGAGAGAGTGAGAGAGAGTGAGGGAGAGAGAGTGAGGGAGAGAGAGTGAGGGAGTGAGAGAGTGAGGGAGAGAGAGTGAGAGAGTGAGAGAGAGAGAGAGTGAGAGAGGGAGTGAGAGAGAGAGAGTGAGGGAGTGGGAGAGAGAGAGTGAGGGAGTGAGAGAGTGAGGGAGAGAGAGGGAGGGAGTGATGGAGAGAGAGTGAGGGAGAGAGAGTGAGGGAGAGAGAGTGAGGGAGTGAGAGAGAGAGAGTGAGGGAGTGAGAGAGTGAGGGAGTGAGAGAGAGAGTGAGAGAGAGAGTGAGAGAGTGAGAGAGTGAGGGAGTGAGGGAGTGAGAGAGTGAGGGAGTGAGAGAGTGAGGGAGTGGGAGAGAGAGAGTGAGGGAGTGAGAGAGAGAGTGAGAGAGAGAGTGAGAGAGTGAGAGAGTGAGAGAGAGTGAGGGAGAGAGAGTGAGGGAGTGAGAGAGTGAGAGAGTGAGGGAGAGAGAGTGAGGGAGTGAGAGAGTGAGGGAGAGAGAGTGAGGGAGTGAGAGAGTGAGGGAGTGAGAGAGAGAGAGTGAGAGAGAGTGAGGGAGTGAGGGAGTGAGAGAGTGAGGGAGAGAGAGTGAGGGAGTGAGAGAGAGAGAGAGAGTGAGGGAGAGAGAGTGAGGGAGTGAGAGAGTGAGGGAGTGAGGGAGTGAGTGAGAGAGAGAGTGAGCGAGTGAGAGAGTGAGAGAGAGAGTGAGAGAGAGAGTGAGAGAGAGTGAGGGAGTGAGAGAGTGAGAGCGAGTGAGAGAGTGAGAGAGAGAGAGTGAGAGAGAGAGAGTGAGAGAGAGAGTGAGATAGAGTGAGAGAGAGTGAGCGAGTGAGAGAGAGAGCGAGGGAGTGAGAGAGAGAGTGAGGAAGAGAGTGAGGGAGTGTGAGAGAGAGTGAGGGGGTGAGGGAGTGAGAGAGTGAGGGAGTGAGAGAGAGAGTGAGAGAGAGAGTGAGGGAGAGAGAGTGAGGGAGTGAGAGAGAGAGTGAGGGAGTGAGAGAGAGAGTGAGGAAGAGAGTGAGGGAGTGTGAGAGAAAGTGAGAGAGAGAGTGAGAAAGTGAGGGAGAGAGAGTGAGGGAGTGAGAGAGAGAGAGAGAGTGAGTGAGTGAGAGAGTGAGGGAGAGAGAGTGAGGGAGTGAGAGAGAGAGTGAGGAAGAGAGTGAGGGAGTGTGAGAGAGAGAGGGACAGCGAGAGAGAGTGAGGGAGTGAGAGGGAGAAATTGAGAATGAGAGCGTGAGAAAGTGAGAGAGTTAGAGAGTGAGGGAGAGAAAGAGTGAGAGAGAAGGAGAAAGAGTGAAAGCATAAGAGAGTGAGAGAATGAGAACGAATTAAAGCGTGAGAGAGTGGGAGAATGAGAGAGAATGAGAGAGGGTGAGACAGAGGCAGAGTGAAAGAGTGAGAGAGTGAGAGAGTAAGGCAGAGTGAGAGAGTGAGGCAGAGTGAGAGAGTGAGGCAGAGTGAGAGAGTGAGGCAGAGTGAGAGAGCTAGGCAGAGTGAGAGAGTTAGGCAGAGTGAGAGAGTAAGGCAGAGTGAGAGAGTGAGGCAGAGTGAGAGAGTGAGGCAGAGTGAGAGAGTAAGGCAGAGTGAGAGAGTGAGGCAGAGTGAGAGAGTAAGGCAGAGTGAGAGAGTGAGACAGAGTGAGAGAGTAAGGCAGAGTGAGAGAGTGAGGCAGAGTGAGAGAGTGAGGCAGAGTTAGAGAGTGAGGCAGAGTGAGAGAGTAAGGCAGAGTGAGAGAATGAGGCAGAGTGAGAGAGTGAGGCAAAGTGAGAGAGTTAGAGAGTGAGGCAGAGTGAGAGAGTGAGGCAGAGTGAGAGAGTGAGGCAGAGTGAGAGAGTAAGGCAGAGTGAGAGAGTGAGTCAGAGTGAGAGAGTAAGGCAGAGTGAGAGAGTGAGGCAGAGTGAGAGAGTGAGGCAGAGTTAGAGAGTGAGGCAGAGTGAGAGAGTGAGACAGAGTGAGATAGTAAGGCAGAGTGAGAGAGTGAGGCAGAGTGAGAGAGTGAGGCAGAGTTAGAGAGTGAGGCAGAGTAAGAGAGTAAGGCAGAGTGAGAGAGTGAGGCAGAGTGAGAGAGTAAGGCAGAGTGAGAGAGTGAGGCAGATTGAGAGAGTGAGGCAGAGTGAGAGAGTGAGGCAGAGTGAGAGAGTAAGGCAGAGTGAGAGAGTGAGGCAGAGTGAGAGAGTGAGGCAGAGTGAGAGAGTTAGGCAGAGTGAGAGAGTGAGGCAGAGTTAGAGAGTGAGGCAGAGTGAGAGAGTGAGGCAGAGTGAGAGAGTGAGGCAGAGTGAGGGAGTAAGAGAGTGAGACCTCCAGGACCCGTGGCGTGTGCAGCAGGTGCCTGATGAACTGAGGGAGGATCTTTCGACTCAGAGACAGTCGCAGCAGGTAACGACCTCTGCCCTGAGCCGACAGAAGCTTCTTACACGCTCTGGTCTGCTCCACCGCCATCGACACTGTAGACAACCTGGACACACAACAACACACAACACGGTAACACACACGCTCTGGTCTGCTCCACCGCCAACGACACTGCAGACAACCTGGACGCACAACAACACACAACACTGTAACACACACGCTCTGGTCTGCTCCACCGCCAACGACACTGCAGACAACCTGGACACACAACAACACACAACACTGTAACACACACGCTCTGGTCTGCTCCACCGCCATCGACACTGCAGACAACCTGGACACACAACAACACACAACACTGTAACACACACGCTCTGGTCTGCTCCAGCGACACTGCAGACAACCTGGACACACAACAACACACAACACTGTAACACACACGCTCTGGTCTGCTCCACCGCCAACGACACTGCAGACAACCTGGACACACAACAACACACAACACTGTAACACACACACTCTGGTCTGCTCCACCGCCAACGACACTGCAGACAACCTGGACACACAACAACACACAACACTGTAACACACACGCTCTGGTCTGCTCCATCGTCAACGACACTGCAGACAACCTGGACACACAACAACACACAACAGAGGTCCACACTGTAACACAACACTGTGACACACACACTCTTTCAGTAATAAGTATCAATCATGGATCTATAATAATAACTGGATAGAGTATCACTATCTTACAGCTGTCCCACCATTGGCCACAGGGGGCGCTGTGGTACTGCAGACTAAATTCACATGAGCTACCCAGAAATATGTCTACAGAACTCAATGTAAACTAAAACAACCTGACCTCAGCTGACAGAGAACCTGACAGAGAACCTACAGAGAACCTGACAGAGAACCTACAGAGAACCTGACAGAGAACCTGACAGAGAACCTGACAAAGAACCTGACAGAGAACCTACAAAGAACCTGACAGAAAACCTGACAGAGAACCTGACAAAGAACCTGACAGAGAACCTGACAAAGAACCTGACAAAGAACCTGACAGAGAACCTAACAGAGAACCTACAGAGAACCTGACAGAGAACCTGACAAAGAACCAGACAGAGAACCTACAGAGAACCTGACAGAGAACCTACAGAGAACCTGACAGAGAACCTACAGAGAACCTACAGAGAACCTGACAGAGAACCTACAGAGAACCTACAGAGAACCTACAGAGAACCTGACAAGAACCTGACAAAGAACTGGACAAACAACCTGACAGAGAACCTGACAGAGAACCTACAGAGAACCTGACAGAGAACCTGACAAAGAACCTGACAGAGAACCTACAGCGAACCTGACAGAGAACCTACAGAGAAGTAAGTAAGTAATATTTATTTATATACCGCCTTTTCACTGCACATCGGAGTCTCAAAGCGGTTTACAATTGTTATTTTTGGGAATGGGGGTGCCAGTATATGAGGCACATGTCAGACCTATTGTACATATTTTTAGTGGTAGGGGAAACCAGAGCACCCGGAGGAAACCTACGCAGACACAGGGAGAACATGCAAACTCCACTCAGAAAGGCCCTGGTCCAACCGGGATTTGAACCCAGGACCTTCTTGCTGAGAGGCGAGAGTGCTATCCACTCTGCCACCGTGCCGCGAGAACCTGACAGAGAACCTGACAGAGAACCTGACAGAGAACCTGACAGAGAACCTGACAAAGAACCTGAAAGAGAACCTACAGAGAACCTGACAGAGAACCTGACAAAGAACCTGAAAGAGAACCTACAGAGAACCTGACAGAGAACCTGACAGAGAACCTGACAAAGAACCTGACAGAGAACCTGAAAAAGAACCTGACAGAGAACCTGACAGAGAACCTGACAAAGAACCTGACAGAGAACCTGACAGAGAACCTACAGAGAACCTGACAAAGAACCTGACAGAGAACCTACAGAGAACCTGACAGAGAACCTGACAGAGACCCTACAGAGAACCTGACAGAGAAGCTACAGAGAACCTGACAGAGAACCTACAGAGTACCTGACAGAGAACCTGACAGAGAACCTGACAAAGAACCTGGCAGAGAACCTACAGAGTACCTGACAGAGAACCTACAGAGAACCTGACAGAGAACCTGACAGAGAACCTACAGAGTACCTGACAAAGAACCTACAGAGAACCTGACAGAGAACCTGACAGAGAACCTACAGAGAACCTGACAGAGAACCTGACAGAGAACCTACAGAGAACCTGACAAAGAACCTGACAGAGAACCTGACAGAGAACCTACAGAGAACCTGACAGAGAACCTGACAGAGAACCTGAACAAGAACCTGACAGAGAACCTACAGAGAACCTACAGAGAACCTGACAGAGAACCTACAGAGAACCTACAGAGAACCTGACAGAGAACTTGACAGAGAACCTACAGAGTACCTGACAAAGAACCTGACAGAGAACCTACAGAGAACCTGACAGAGAACCTACAGAGAACCTGACAGAGAACCTACAGAGAACCTGACAAAGAACCTGACAGAGAACCTGACAGAGAACCTACAGAGAACCTGACAGAGAACCTGACAGAGAACCTGACAAAGAACCTGACAGAGAACCTACAGAGAACCTGACAGAGAACCTGACAGAGAACCTGACAGAGAACCTACAGAGAACCTGACAGAGAACCTACAGAGAACCTGACAGAGAACCTGACAGAGAACCTACAGAGAACCTGACAAAGAACCTGACAGAGAACCTGACAGAGAACCTGACAAAGAACCTGACAGAGAACCTACAGAGAACCTGACAGAGAACCTGACAAAGAACCTGACAGAGAACCTACAGAGAACCTGACAGAGAACCTGACAGAGAACCTACAAAGAACCTGACAGAGAACCTACAGAGAACCTGACAGAGAACCTGACAAAGAACCTGACAGAGAACCTACAGAGAACCTGACAGAGAACCTGACAAAGAACCTGACAGAGAACCTACAGAGAACCTGACAGAGAGCCTGACAGAGAACCTGACAGAGAACCTACAGGGAACCTGACAGAGAACCTGACAGAGAACCTGACAGAGAACCTGACAGAGAACCTGACAGAGAACCTGACAGAGAACCTGACAGAGAACTTACAGTGAACCTGACAGAGAACCTACAGCTTTCACAAAAGTCTGATTTTGTGGGAATTTTAGTGTCCCTTGTCATCCTGAACTTTTTTCTTCTTAAATCCGTCAGTTTTCCAAATTTGATGTCCCAACGTTCAAAATATTTGACATTGACAAAACCTTCAAAGTGTGAAGATGCAAGCGACTGTTAGACCCGCCTCCACAGGTTCCTGATTGGATGCAATTAATTTAAACCCGTGATAGACAGCTAGGCCCCTCCCCATTGGTTATATTATCTATAACAAAGTACTTACTATTAATATACAACAGGAGTGAAAGAGAAGAAATATGAATTTGTATAAAAATGAAATACTATTAAAGAAGCAATATGTAAGATTCTCATGTCAAATCATCATTAAAGGGCCCTAATCTGTCGTCATTAAAGGGCCCTAATCTGTCATCATTAAAGGGCCCTAATCTGTCATAATAATAAACTGCTCTTTTCCAATACTTCTTTAACTGATATCAGTAGTTCAGAGATATTTGAATTTCTAAATTACTTTTCCAGTCTCTAAATCTTGTTATTGTTTTCATTTCGATGTCCCGCCCTCCACCTTTTCACCAATCAGAAAGTCTGTGATCCGGGCGCCAGAACTCACCGCGTGGAGCTAATCTCACTGGTAAAGTACCATGTGGCGTAGAACTAAAAAAGGTCTCGTTATGATTCTCAAATCATTAACGACAAAACAAGGAATAAAACCAGGATTTCTATCTTTGTGAAAAAGGTGTTGGTTATAGATTTGTTGTTGACAAAACTCTTGTCTATTCAGCTGTTATGGTCCCAGCTGGATTCGTCTGCATATCTGGCAACCTGAGTCAGGGAGAGTGGGAGAGGCTGCAGTACCACTTTTGGCCTACTGCTCTTTTAAAGGAATAGGCCACCGTGTTTACGCACTGACACATGGTCTTACCTTAGACTAGTTGATATGTACCTGTCTGGTCTGTGTCCGTGTGCTCTGTCATGCAAACGGAGCACAAACACAGCCTCTTCCACAGACTGTATAGTACCAAATCAGCTCCCGTTAGAAGCTACCAAACTCTTCCACGGGTTTCCTATTTAAATATGGTTACGTGACGTGTTACACTACAAAGTATAGTAACACAGAAATGTAACATGTCGATTTCCTCAGCGGATAAAAAGGGGAACTATATTGTGAGGGAAGAGAAGAGTTTGGAAGAGTTTGGTAGCTTCTAAAGGGGGGCTGATTTGGTACTATACAGTCTGTGGAAGAGGCTGCGTTTGTGCTCCGTTTGCATAACAGAGCGCACGGACAAAGACCAGACAGGAACATATCAACTAGTCTAAGGTAAGAACGTATGTCAGGATGTAAAAACGCCTATTCCTTTAAAGTTCAGATGTGATGTTAATTACAGACAGTGTTTTCAGGACAGAGTTGGAGTCGTACCGGCCGCAGGTGTCGTGCTGAGGAACCTGCTCCAGACACTGCCAATAGTCCCGCTGAACCAGACTGACGACCGGCTCTGTAACAGAACAAACACATGTCTGACCCAGAGGGAGTTGTGTGTTTGCCAAATGTCAATATCCTGAAGCTGCAGCTGATTAGACTCCATTTTGTTTACAACATGTATTTATGGATGATTGATGTAAGTTTAGTATGATCATAATCTGTTCCACTCAACTTTAAAGACGCAGCTCACACTGTTAGCCGCTAAGTTAGCGCTTCACAGAAATAAGGTCCTACGTGTCTGTGTAGGTTTCCTCCGGGTGCTCCAGTTTCCCCTATTGCTACAAATATGTAAAAATCACAATGGGACTTTCCTGGTTAAATTAAGGTCAATACAAAAATAAATATAATAATGAAATTTCATGTATTTAATCTTAATACATTGAAAAACTGTGTATAATCCACAGCTGTTCTTCACCCACACAATGTCACCAAATGAAGAGGATTAAAATAGTTCAAGCTAAAAAATCAGATTTATTCTAAATTAGGATCAACCGAAGGAGCAGGAGCTGTGGACAGCAGTCTGGTGCAGCTCAGGATCAGGGAATTATGTAAATGAAGCAGATTCTATCTGTGACTAACATAAAACACTAAAACACATTTAGATCTAATCTTCTGTGTGTTTGTGTTTTAAAGGGACAGAGTTGTGTGTCCATTTCCTGTGCAGTTGTAGGTGATGTGTGTTGTGTGTTGGGCCGTGACTCACGCTGGAGCCCCTTCCTCAGGACCAGCTCCAGCAGCTCGCAGCAGGAGGGCAGGTGCGGGCTGCTGTCGGTGACGGGGCCCCCGGACTGGAGGTTCAGGACGCACACTGCGGGGACATGACACATTCTGAGCGGCAGAACCACAGGACGTGGAGCGGGGACATGACACACTCTGAGCGGCAGAACCACAGGACGTGGAGCGGGGACATGACACACTCTGAGCGGCAGAACCACAGGACATGGAGCGGGGACATGACACACTCTGAGCGGCAGAACCACAGGACATGGAGCGGGGACATGACGTACCTTTAAGAGTCCCCAGCAGAGGGTCTTTGGGGGCCATGTTGTTCCTGATAATCTTCTCGTGACTTATCCAGCGGTGCGGAGATGGATGCGGTGTCTCTGTGGATGATGCTCCAACATCAGACCTCCACCTCCTCCACCTCCTCCTCCTCCTCCTCCTCCGGGCGCGGTCCCCTCACGGCGGTCGCACTGCAGAGGGGCCTCTTCACATAAACAGTTCTCTGTGATGCACCGGGACCGTGTGTTTGTGGCGCTCTCACCGACAGCAGCTGATGTATGTCAGGGAGCAGGAGCTGAGGGAGAGAGCAGCGACATCTGGTGGCGAGAGAGAGGAGGACAGGCAGAGGCGGTGGTGCGTTTAATGACCCAGGGCCTGAGCAGGAATTTAAAGAACCGAGGTCCAGTGCATTTGATCTAAACAGTGCCTTTACATAATGGAAATACTCAGTTTGACTTTAAGACGTTACAGTGTAATAAATATGTCATGTCCTGTTCCTGGTGTTCTTTTAAAGAATATATGTATAGATTTTTTAATTCATGTTTAATCTTTATAAAGGACACAATGTAATACATTACGGTATAAACATACACACCATACAGTATTCTGCTCATAGAAAAAGGATGTGGAAAAAAGACCATTACAGCTGCAGTACATTCGGTGCAAACAGCCGTGAGCAGGACCTCAGGCCTGAGCGGAGTTAGAACATTTGTGTTTTCAGTCCCACAGACTCTCCGCTGTTGGGCCTGAGGCTGATCTCGTGTTGCTGCATTCTGCGCTCGGTCCAAGCAGCGGTCTCATAAACAGCAGCTGTGGCGCCCCCTGGCGGCCGCGGGAAGAACAGTCCGTGATAAGAGCGCGCGCACAGCCTCGTGCTGCAGGGAAGCCTCAGACGCAACAGAAACAAGGCTCTGTTCTCTTTATGACACGCGTTTAAGGTAAGGCGCTTTTCTGCTTCTGTAGTTACTGTTTGTTTATGTTTGCATTGTAGAGGAGCTACTGTCACTGACACATGTACTTTATGTGATGTAATTATATATAATATGCATATTATATATATATGATATATATTATATATACTACAATAGCGGCTGTGTAAATATCTGTGTAGTGAATATGATCCTATACTTCACTCTTGCACTGGTTTCATGATACACTGCATTCTGTTGCATTGTTGTGACAATGAACTTTAATTTAATCTAAACCTGCAGCTCATTAAAGCTGAGGGACCTAACTTCCAACCCAACATCTAATTATCCCCTCACATCGCGTCACTAAAGATACATGTGTTATTATTTTGTTATTGTGTTTTTTTTTTTTTTACCTCTGTCACTTGAGATTTTTGTTTTTTTTAGACAAAAGTGAAAAATATAGGAAAAGCCAAAAGTGTGAAAAAAACTACATGTTTTCTACTGAAGTGAACAGAGCATGGTCCTAAACATGTGCAGCACGCGTGTTCTTGGTGTGTGTGTGTGTGTGTCTCTCTCTCTGTGTGCGTGCCTGTATGTGTGTATGTTGTGTGTCTCTGTGTGTGTTGTGTGTGTGTTGTGATCATGACATAAGGCAGTTGTCCTGAAATAGTGGCAGCTCTGCACCTGGGAACAGTGTACCGCCCGTGCTCGTGATAATCCAGGATTTTCTTTCTAATCTTTCAAGTACACAACTTCTTGCCATCACCGAGTGTTCTTGGTGTGGAACATTGTGTAGTTAGACTCTGTGTTTTCAAAGGAAGTGCTCGTGCAAAAGTACTGTAAATATAAGATAAAAAACCAGTCGTGCAGCAGGATCTATGACACACTCTTTACTCACAAAGAACCACCACATGATTTGCAGACTTGTAAGAAAGAGCCCTGTGAGCCGCACACACACACACACACACACGCACACACACACGCACGCACGCACACGCACACACACGCACAGACAGGACACAGCATATACAGTAGTAACAAACAGATTGAGTGGACAGTCTGAAGTTGCAGGTTTTGCACATTGCACGATTACGGCATTGACTGTTTACAGATGAATGACATGTACAGGCTCAGCAGGTCTCATTGTACAGTCTGACAGCAGCAGGAAGGATAGACCGAGAGCGAGGATGGATCAGCTTCATGTTTACACAGTTTTTTATCCACCGAAATCCTGGAGTTTAGTGCAGTGATGTCCAAACTCAGGCCCGGGGGCCAATTGCGGCACTCAGTGTCTGTTGTATGTGGCCCTCTGCCGTACGAACCCACAGTAGTCTTTGCGATCATAAACACAAATTCACTGTGTCATCCATCCAACTTCAGCTGAGCCAATATAGACGTGTCGTAGCTCATTCTGAAGCCCAGTACATCTGGAAAACAGACTTGTGAGATGGTGAGATAAACATGTGTCATTCAGCCAACTTCAGCTCTGTTATAGATCATCATAAAGCTCAATGTCAGTCAAGACAGTTTTCAGTCCGTGACGTCGGCCCCTGGACTGGTCTAAAGTGGCCTCTTACTAAAATGTTTGGACACCCCTGCTCTAAACCTGATTTTGTTGCTCTCTGTGACAATGACAATATATATTTAGAATTTAATTGTATTTGAGGCTTTGGGCTGAGAGCTGATTGGCTGAGAGCTGATTGGCTGAGAGCTGATTGGCTGAGAGCTGATTGGATGAGAGAGGGCGGCTGCCTCTTGAGCTAAACATGTGAAAACATGTGAATGGAAGCAACTGTTTTCGAGCCAGGAACCAGCTTTAACCTGAGTTTAAACTGTGGAAAGTTGGGTAGCCGAGCTTTAATATGAATTTCTTTTTTATTGACACACAAAACATAAAGGGCCAGACTGACTTTGAGGCCGATCTAACAATACAAACAGATTTATTTCATGAATAATTCTTCATTTCTGTTGTTAAAAGCCAAGTTTGCAGCTGACATTTTCTACATAAAGAGGTCCATGTTCAGTTCAGTGTCGCTGTGAAATAAGTCTGTTTTAACGATTGCTTTGATCATCAGAGAGATCTTTAGGCTCAGAGAATATGGGTTAATTCTCTATAATCCACCAAAACAAAGCTCAGTGTTCATGTGTTCACAGAGACTTGTTAGAAACGGTCTTTTCTCTGTGTTTAGAATCAGTGTCACAGAGAAGCCGTAAAAAAGCCATTCATTCATAAACACATTGGATTCTCCGCATGTTTCCGTCCATGGAAGCTTCACAAACATGACTCAAATACTAAATTTGTCAACCACTTTTTCAATAATTATTAAACTTGTTATAGCCTTAACATTTCTGCTCCAGGTCAGTTCAGTTTATTGGATACAAAGAGCTCAAAAGGAGAAGGCAGAAGTGAAAAATACTTATAAGCTCCTGCTCCTTTCATTTCAATTCAATTCCATGTATTCTTGCACAGCCTTAACTCACAACAGTAGTGATCTCGGAGAATTCACCAACACAGATTAGAGAATCAAGCAGCTCAAAGACAAGAAGAAACACACAGAGCCGGTGTCGCCAACCTTTTTCACCCAGAGAGCTACTTTCCCGGGAGGATAAAGACAGAGAGCTACTCCTTTAAGCGCTCTGGGAAAAATTGGTGCCATATTAAGTATAGTATTTGATTTTTTTCATTTCTATCTCCTTTGGCGAGCTACCTGGAGGGGGGTGGCGAGCTACTGGTGGTTCCCGAGCTACAGGTTGGAGACCCCTGACATAGAGCCATTGATCCAGAAGGAGCAGGGACCAATGACCATAAATATTGAGTGTCCTGCATCATCCCCACTGTCCTGAGACCCTCCTGCATCGGCAAGAAACTACTGGCTCAGCAGCAGCAGTAGCAGCAGCAGCAGCAGAGGCAGCAGCAGCAGCAGCAGCAGCAGCAGAGGCAGCAGCAGCAGTAGCAGCAGTAGCAGCAGCAGCAGCAGCAGTAGCAGCAGCAGTAGCAGCAGTAGCAGCAGCAGCAGCAGCAGAGGCAGCAGAGGCAGCAGCAGCAGCAGCAGAGGCAGCAGAGGCAGCAGCAGCAGCAGCAGAGGCAGCAGAGGCAGCAGAGGCAGCAGAGGCAGCAGAGGCAGCAGCAGCAGAGGCAGCAGCAGCAGCAGAGGCAGCAGCAGCAGCAGCAGAGGCAGCAGAGGCAGCAGAGGCAGCAGCAGCAGAGGCAGCAGAGGCAGCAGCAGCAGCAGAGGCAGCAGCAGCAGCAGCAGAGGCAGCAGAGGCAGCAGCAGCAGAGGCAGCAGAGGCAGCAGCAGCAGCAGCAGAGGCAGCAGAGGCAGCAGCAGCAGAGGCAGCAGCAGCAGCAGAGGCAGCAGCAGCAGCAGCAGAGGCAGCAGAGGCAGCAGCAGCAGAGGCAGCAGAGGCAGCAGCAGCAGCAGCAGAGGCAGCAGAGGCAGCAGCAGCAGAGGCAGCAGCAGCAGCAGCAGCAGAGGCAGCAGCAGCAGCAGCAGAGGCAGCAGAGGCAGCAGCAGCAGCAGAGGCAGCAGCAGCAGCAGCAGAGGCAGCAGAGGCAGCAGCAGCAGCAGAGGCAGCAGCAGCAGCAGCAGCAGCAGTATGACTTTGGCGCTGGATCCAGAAGCAGTCGTACATCTCCCACTCTGGCGTGGACGCTGCTGATTCGACAGTCCAGGAGCTGCTGCCTCAGATCTCTCCGGGATTCGGCCTCATTATAATCAGCTGCAAACACATGTCGGGAGGAAACTCACCGAGCAGCGTCATTCCAGAGAGAGTCTAAAACCTCTGACCATCAAGAACTACAGATGCAGCCGGGGATTTTTTCCAGACAGGTTTTTTTTTTATATTGTGGGAAAACGTCCCTAAACCCTAAAAGTATCAAGTTATCATGTGTTTTCAAATAGTAATGGAATTGATCAGATGTCTATAGTCCACAAAAATTAATAACAAATATTTTGGAGCGGACCGATGAAAATAAACCAATGGGACGTGTTTACCGCCTTCACCCTCTTCCTGTTTCTCACGAGTGCTCCGGAGTTATCGAATTTTCTAAAACCTAAAATGGCTGAATTTGATAAAACAAAAATACAGTTCTCCAACATCGACTAAAATATTACCCTCACTCACTCATGAAATATATGTATATATGTTTTACTAACAGACAAATACAAATACACATTGGCCCAAAGTGGTACTGCAGCCTCTCCCACTCTCCCTGACTCAGGTTGCCAGATATGCAGACAAATCCAGCTGGAACCATAACAGCTGAATAGACAAGAGTTTTGTCAACAACAAATCTATAACCAACACCTTTTTCACAAAGATAGAAATCCTAGTTTTATTCCTTGTTTTGTCGTTAATGATTTGAGAATCATAACGAGACCTTTTTTAGTTCTGCGCCACATGGTACTTTACCAGTGAGATTAGCTCCACACAGTGAGTTCTGGCGCCCGGACAAGATTTAGGGGCTGGAAAAGTAATTTAGAAATTCAAATATCTCTGAACTACTGTTATCAGTTAAAGCAGTATTGGAAAAGAGCAGTTTATTATTTTTGACAGATTAGGGCCCTTTAATTATGACAGATTAGGGCCCTTTAATGATGACGGATTAGGGCCCTCTAATGATGACAGATTAGGGCCCTTTAATAATGACAGATTAGGGCCCTTTAATGATGACAGATTAGGGCCCTTTAATGATGACAGATTAGGGCCCTTTAATGATGACAGACTAGGGCCCTTTAATGATGACAGATTAGGGCCCTTTAATAATGACAGATTAGGGCCCTTTAATGATGACAGATTAGGGCCCTTTAATGATGACAGATTAGGGCCCTTTAATGATGACAGACTAGGGCCCTTTAATGATGACAGATTAGGGCCCTTTAATGATGACAGATTAGGGCCCTTTAATGATGACAGATTAGGGCTCTTTAATGATGACAGATTAGGGCCCTTTAATGATGACAGACTAGGGCCCTTTAATGATGACAGATTAGGGCTCTTTAATGATGACAGATTAGGGCTCTTTAATGATGACAGACTAGGGCCCTTTAATGATGGCAGATTAGGGCCCTTTAATGATGACAGATTAGGGCTATTTAATGATGACAGATTAGGGCCCTTTAATGATGACAGATTAGGGCCCTTTAATGATGACATACTAGGGCCCTTTAATGATGACAGATTGGGGCCCTTTAATGATGACGGATTTGGCCCTTTAATAATGACAGATTAGGGCCCTTTAATGATGACAGATTAGGGCCCTTTAATGATGACAGATTAGGGCCCTTTAATGATGACAGATTAGGGCTCTTTAATGATGACAGATTAGGGCCCTTTAATGATGACAGATTAGGGCCCTTTAATGATGATAGATTAGGGCCCTTTAATGATGACAGATTAGGGCCCTTTAATGATGACAGATTAGGGCCCTTTAATGATGACAGATTAGGGCCCTTTAATGATGACAGATTAGGGCCCTTTAATTATGACAGATTAGGGCCCTTTAATGATGACAGATTAGGGCCCTTTCATGATGACAGACTAGGGCCCTTTAATGATGACATACTAGGGCCCTTTTGATGACAGATTAGGGCCCTTTAATGATGACGGATTTGGGCCCTTTAATGTTGACAGACTAGGGCCCTTTAATGATGACAGATTAGGGCTCTTTAATGATGACAGATTAGGGCCCTTTAATGATGACAGACTAGGGCCCTCTAATGATGACAGATTAGGGCTCTTTAATGATGACAGACTAGGGCCCTTTAATGATGACAGATTAGGGCTCTTTAATGATGACATATTAGGGCCCTTTAATGATGACAGATTAGGGCCCTTTAATGATGACATACTAGGGCCCTTTAATGATGACAGATTAGGGCCCTTTAATGATGACAGATTAGGGCCCTTTAATGATGACAGATTAGGGCCCTTTAATGATGACATATTAGGGCCCTTTAATGATGACAGATTAGGGCTCTTTAATGATGACAGATTAGGGCCCTTTAATGATGACAGACTAGGGCCCTTTAATGATGACAGATTAGGGCTCTTTAATGATGACAGATTAGGGCCCTTTAATGATGACAGATTAGGGCCCTTTAATGATGACAGACTAGGGCCCTTTAATGATGACAGACTAGGGCCCTTTAATGATGACTTGACATAAAAATCGTACATATTGCTACTCGAGCGTGGCGCCGGGAGGGTTCATAATGAGGTCCTGTGGGTCTGGGGCGGTTTGGGTCGGCTTGGGTCGGCTTGGGTCGGCCTGAGTCTGCACTGCTTCCTCAGAGTTCCCTTTGTACTAACGCTGTGGTTTTGCTCCGCAGGACTCCAGCTCCAACATGATCCGGGACTGTCTGCATTTCCTCATAGAGCCGGCCAAAAAGATGAAAATCCGGCTTAAGGTACGCAGTGTGAGGCCTGTGTTTCTATGGAGTCTGGTTTGTTGTGCGTGTTGGAAAAAGGTTGTGTGTTTTTTTGTGTTGGCAGGAATCTCGCAAGAAAGTGAAGCTGGAAAAGAGTGAGCCGCTGTTGGAGAGTCAGCTTTTTATTATGGAGCTGGCCAGAGAGCTCAACAAGATCTGCCAGGTGTGTGTGTGTGTGTGTGTGTGTGTGTGTGTGTGTGTGTGTGTGTGTGTGTGTGTGTGTGTGTGTGTGTGTGTGTGTGAGGGTGTGTGAGGGTGTGTGTGTGTGGGTGAGGGTGTGTGTGAGTGTGTGTGTGTGAGTGTGTGTGTGTGTGTGTGTGTGTGTGTGTGTGTGTGTGTGTGTGCGTTTGTAAACGGTGACATATGGGGACGTCCACCTGAATACACACAGACATATGGGGACCCGAAACACTGCGGGGACCTCATCCGAGGTCCCCAGAGGCACAATGCTATTATTCAACCAGGAACAGCCCAGGGATGCTTCCCAACTACTTATCTCCAAAGACCCCTTAGTGCCCAAAACCTGACAAAGTGTATCCTCATGCGACCCTAGTGGATACACAGAGGTACTGCAGTCCCCTTATGTACTCATGTGTTTGTTGTGTGTATCATCAGGTCCCACTCGAGAGCGCCCCCACATGGAAGTTGCTGGTACTGCAGCTAAATAATGTTTATACTGGTTTTCGGTGGATTTAGTTCACTTTGTATATATTTAAATATGAGATTTTAATTAAAAAATATACATATATATATTCATGTAATTTAAGTAAAAAATAATACAATAGTGTTCAAACAAGGCACAAGTAACACCAGAACCATGTTATTTTCACACAAAGATGCTTTATCTGCAGCTTTGAAAAGTAGGAAAGTAAGTAAATGAGTCAGTACTGGTAGGACACTAACTAATACTGTAACTGTATGGTGTATGTTTACAGAGGTATATGTATAAATAAATATTTAATATATTTTTTGATAATAATCTATGTATATATTTTTTACAGACCAAGAATGTGCATTAAGAAGAAATAGTTATATTTCAATTAAGACAATAACAATTTAACGTTTAAAAACAAAACCAATATTGAAAGTTATTTGCAGAAGTAATCTTCTCATAAAAGAATAGTTCAAAGTCAAACATTCTTTATGTATGTAATCAAAGTATGAATATTGAAAAATGTGATCTATTGTCATTACATTCACTTGTTATATTATATTCACTTTATTTAGGATAAAACTGCATTAAAGCCTCATGCTTTAGGCTCCTTTGGATTACATTGATTAGCTTAGCATAGCATACACAATAGGACAGGGACTTAAGCTAACACTAAGCTAATGGCTAGCGTCACTCACCAGTTTAGAAGCTCTGAACTATGAACAATTGTAAAGTGCTTTGGGTGATCTTGGTTTGTTAAACGTGCTATATAAATAAACATTACTTACTTACTTACTAGAAGTTCAGAAAAATAGCTGCTTAACACAGCTCACATACCTGCTAGCTCCTCTCCTGGTGCAAACCCCAATGCACTGCTATTATTAATGAACCCAAGCCCCAATATAGAGTGCTAGCACATAAAAACATGATCTAATGTTATCATCATAATAATAGCATAGAATCTTAGTTTTTCCATTTAGCGTAGACATAGTAGTTAACTCTTTAGGTTCCAGAATCCATGAAACAATTCAATTTGAATTGGCTTACATCCATGTGAGACATGTTTGGCAACCCTGGTCTTCATTCATTTGAGGACCTCTGTATGTACTTTACATGGTCTAAAAGGTCATTTCCAAACTGTCTTCTCATATTTTGGGACAGACATATGTCAGAATCAGAATCATTTTTATTGCCACGTAAGTAACAGGAAGTCACAAACTTGGGAATTGCTTTGGCTCAGTGCAACAGTCAGAGAGAGAGGTAAGAGTAAAGAAGGCACAATATAAAGAATAAAGAGCACTTCTAAGGAATACATTTATTATAGAATTATTATGATTACAATTACTATTTACAATATACAGTGCACATGGTACACACCAT